GTGAAATGATATAGTTTGTTTTTATTTAAGAAATATATAACTTTCGAATTAATGTACTCGCTGTACAGTGTGAGTGTGTGCGGAGTTAATTAAAAATTAAAAACTAAGTTTTATGGAATTTGAGCAGATTATGCTTAGAAAAAAGCGAGAGATTGAATTGAGGTTATGCATGCCCATGTCCCCATTTACGACGGATTCAAATCATATTCTAACTCCATGCTGGAATATCATTCAAAGACCCGCACTCTGTCCTTCTAGTTTAAATGTTTATTATCTAAATATCTGTCGTCAGTAGCTGTAAAGTCATAGTGAAGAAATATGTGAAATATGTAGTGTTGTCCGGCCCCTGAAAAGGCAAAACAGGTGGACAAATTAGCTTATTTAAGAACGTCCAGTCAGAAATAGCTTTGAGATGTTTCTACAGACATTTTCGACAAATTTGGAACATATGTAAATATTTTTTTTCTTTTTCCATAGAAATTGATCAAAACAAGTTCAATCGGAACACGCTATATGGCTGTATTTACTCAGATTTTAAATCCCATTAGTGGACAGAACGAATGGGCTGCGAAGGATGACACATACGACTATTACCAGGAAGTGGCCAATGCTGGGTTCGGAGACATGCTTCATGACTGGGAGAGAAACCAGAAATATTACCAAGCTTTGAAGAAAACAATAGCCCATATGCATAGCTTGGGGAAGAAAGCTCATGTTCTCGATATTGGTACGGGCACGGGAATATTGTCAATGATGGCGGTGTCGTCAGGAGCAGATTCAGTGACGGCATGCGAGGCTTTCTTACCCATGGCCAATTGCGCCGAACAAATTTTAGAGGCCAATGGAATGAAGGATAAAATCAAACTAATCAAGAAGAGATCGACAGAAATTGAAATTGGCGTAGATATGCCAAGGAAAGCCAATTATTGGTCACTGAGGTTTTGGATACAGAACTTATCGGAGAAGGTGCTATAGGTATTTACAACCATGCGCACGCACATTTGTTGACAGATGACGTTATATGCATTCCTTCGAAGGCGGTATGTTTTGCACAGGTGGTTAGCTCTCATTTGGCGGCTCAATGGAATTCGATGAAGATATTAGCTAATTTGGATGGAGACGTATTATTGAGGCCCCCAAAAGAAATTTCCGAATGTAAAGGAGAAGCTAATCTTCATGACGTCCAGCTTTCTCAGTTACCATTAGAAACATTTAGACCAATTACAACCCTTAGAAATATTTCAATTTGACTTTAACAAAAAAGAACCACGTGCATCGGAACGACATTGTAATATGGAGGCAAAAGCAAGTTCTGTTGGCAGTACTGACTTAGTGTTTTACTGGTGGGAGATCGCACTGGATCTAGAAGGCGAAATCAGATTGTCTTGTGCGCCCTTCTGGGCACATCCTCATCTAAAAGAGATGGCTGCATCAGAATACCCAGCAAAACCGTTGTCCAATGTCATTCCATGGCGAGACCATTGGATGCAGGCCATTTACTATGTACCAAAACCTTTAAATTTGCAAAAAGACGATACGTTTACACTTCTATGTAATCATGATGAGTATTCGTTATGGTTCGATGTAAGTATCGGCACGAATGAGTTGAATAAAAAAGTACCCAGACACCAGTGTTCCTGCAGGATGCACTTGACTTATTCTAGATCAAGGATTGGACAAATGAACGAGAGTATTCGTAACAAACGCTACATGAATGCCTGGAAGAAAAGATAAATGAGAGTTCCAACGTACTGGTACTAGGGGACAGCTGCTTATTGGGATTAGCCAGCGTTAAACTTGGAGCCAAGTCGGTAATATGTTATGAGCCGCAACAATACTCGAGAGAGTTTCTCAAGGGTATCGCTAAGAACAATCAATTGGAAAACGTGAAAATTGCTCAAAAACTGGGCGACATAACAGACGACGAATTACAAGCCGTTAACTTTATATTCGCCGAGCCATATTTTCTAACGTCCATATTGCCATGGGACAACTTTTATTTTGGAACTTTGCTTATGCAACTAAAGGATAAGTTTCATAAATTCGAAGAAATGCCTATATCGCCACTTGGAGCAAAAATTTATTGCGTCCACTTGAATTCCTAGACCTTCATAAATTCGTAGCCCGGTTAAGGAGTGCGAGGGTTTCGATTTAAGACTTTTTGATGAAATGGTGCAGGCAAGTACATAATGAACCACATATCGGTTGAGGCATGAGTTAGACACATAAATTAAAAACAAAACGTTGTTCCATAAATATAAATTTCTTAGAAATCCATATCAGTGGCTCAGGCAAAGGTAGAGGCTCAACCGCTTGGGAATATCCTGGCAAGGCATTGGCAAAGGAGCAGGTTATACTGCAAGTGGATTTCAAAAAATTTGATCAAATGCAATCATTGAAAGGAAGCATCCCCATGAATAGTAAGTTTCATTCCTTACAAATCATATGCATTTGTT